GACTAAGATCCTTTCTTCTGCCCTTAGAAATTCTTTCTCTCTCAGAGATTATTGCTAACATCCTACAGGATTTCTTTCCTAGTTAACCTGAAAACTCTTACTTATCTTATTCATTAGATACAGGTTACAGAATTTTCATGTGAATGGTCTTATCTCTTATCTTTGCTGTAAGCTCCTTTAGTAGATTGACTTTACAAGGAATGTAATAAAGACTTGTTGACTGATACAAGTCAGTCAACAGACATTGAGTAAGCAGTGACTGTGTTTAAGACATTGTGGCAGGTAGGCATTGATAGGGACACAGCCATAATCCACAGCCTTGCCCTCTATAACTTATAGTCTCATGAGGAAGTTATAGTTAAGTACACAAACCATTACTGTCCCAGGTTGAGAAAGTAAGAAGAGCATCAAAGAAGAAATATTATCTGTTGAAAAAGATATCATGAAAGGTTTTTTTGTGAAATTGTTAGGTGTGCCTGCAAGAATTATTTTTCATTCCTTGAACAATTGACATCCTTAGGTTTGCTGCTAGAAACAAGGCATATTATGACAATGCTAGAAAAGTTTTTATCTTCAACATCACATAATACATAATCTTTTGTTTGTGTCCAGCACTGCCAAGTGTGTGAAATTTCACCTTGCATTCAAGACAAGGTGTATAGATGCTGTGACAGTTTTATAAATGTCAGAGACATCAGACTTCTGGGTCAGAGACAAAGGACTCTGTTACTCACAGCACAGCAGGTTATATGAGCTTAATGTTTCCCTTAGAGTCATTGCTCCCTGAGGTCACAATGCAGGTGACACACAACAGCCAGGTAGATGCTGCAGACACAAAGAATTATGTGTTACATGTGATTAAATTCAAACATAGAAAACTCCAACCTTATAAAGGGTCTGCAAGCAAACCTGTACAACCTTTGCCCAAAGGGGAAATTATCTCCATTATCCTGTTCAGAACATCAGTCTTCCATTTGCCTTTGAGGGAGACTCTTTATTATCTCCTAAAGCTATTTGAAATGATAGAATGAAACAAAAGCTATCATAGATATGTACAAATGCTATAGAGAATTGTCCCCTCCACACCCAAACAGTATTTTCAAATTGTCCCGAAATAATCATTATAAAACAATGATTTAAAGGAGTAATATGTTGAGGCTGTTTTACTGGTCTATATGCTACTTCAGCATTAAAAAGCTGAACTTGATATATTTTTCAAAAGAATTATTGAGTTACTAACACTGAAATTGTGGAAATACAGTTTTAGAAAGTTGTCATTTTACATAATGAAGAAAAATGAGTAAGAAGGAATGCTAATATTCTAAGAGCCCTGCATCTCATAAGTTAAATGTGTTAAGAATTATTATTCTGAATTACAGATGAGGTGTTCTCTAATTTATTCATAGCAATAAGGAATGAAAATCCTTCCAGTTCTAGATGACGCTAAAATGAATTTGTGTTTTGTTACATATATAAAAATTCATATTTATTCACATATACACACACACATGTTGTATCATATCCTTTTGAATAATTATGTATCCACAGTCAAATCACAATTCCAAAACCAAGCAGAATCTCAAGTTAGAATGGATTTTATAAATCTGAGAAACTCAATCCCTTGGTATAAAGATTTTTTTTTCAAAATAATGGATTAGTGAGTTTATCAATTCTACATGTCACTTCCAAGATCCTTACTCTCTCGTGTTGTTGTTAGTGATTGTCTTCAGGCGGATGTAAGGCTGCCACCAAACCTGACGATGTAATTTTACACTCTCTTTCCTGAATCATGCAGGATTCACTGATAGAGTGATTCATTGTGATAACCAGGAACATTGACTCTAAGGTTTTATGTGTGTATATTTGGCTTTTTAGTTGACTTTCCTTTATATCCCTTCTTTTTCCCTTTGTTTTTTTCTGTGTCACAACAACAAAAAAAAACCTCATGTTTTTCATTCGAAACTTTAAAAACAAGTGTGTTTTTTTAACTGTATGTTTTGTTGTCTTGTGTCTTAGAATAAATCATTATATTTAGTCATTTGTTTTTTTTGAACTGAATTATATTTAGAAATAAGCTTTTGGGGACTGAAAATTCATAGTAAAATAGGATTTTGTCCAATGTTAATCTATTGTTTATTTGCATCCAATTCTACTTTCTGTTTACTTGGCTTTAATCTTTACTAAGAATGATTGGCATCAATATATGTACTGTATTTTGTTTTAAGCCATGAAAAAAATTAAAAAATAAAATTTTAAATACAGTGCTATGACAGCAAAAGAATACCTGATAAAGAATATTGTAAGAACATTTTTTGAGACCCATTAACCTAAAAAGAACATCAAAATAATATTTTATACCTATAATTCAAACCATAGAGTGATTACTAATATGATAATAATTTTAATCATATAAAGATCATCATAATAAAATGTTCTTATCACTACTTTTATGAATTCCCATATTACTAATGTATAAGGAATGGGTTTGTCTATATAATGTATGAGTTAAGTGATAAGCCTTTTCTATTCTAGCACACAAATTTTATAGTGCACAACTTACAAAAAAAATCACTTCAATCTTGATCGTATTTGGGATTCAAGCATATATATCAGATTTCAAAACCAAAAATGCCTGCAGAGGCCAGTGAGGTTAAAGAAAAGTCTAAAGCAAATCAGAGTTCCTGTCCCATTGAAAGAAGATGTCAAGCTTCCAATTTCAGAGGAACGTTGTTATAAATGAATGTATGCCTATTGTTTGTCTTCTGATTTTTCTAGCAAAATCAGAAATCTGTGTTTTTATGCAAATTTATCATTTTTGAATGTTGGCCACTACTTTAAATATAGCTAAATAATGTGCATGCTAAATTAGAAACAAAGAAACTTACAATGAGTAATATCTACTTTTTTTTTTTTGAGTAACATCTACTTTTGACTTACAAACCTGAATGTGTTTTTAGGCTAGCAGAATGAGATCGTGGCAGAGGAAGGGAAGGCAAAGATCAAGGAGAGATCATAGGGATCCTAAGGGAACAAATTAGCATAGATCAGAAAAGGGTCTCATATTGGCTTAGTCCTAGCAATGTTGTCTAATGGCAATAGACAATCCCACTGGGTAGTAAAAAGCTATCCCTGAAACCTTCTCAATCCAGGACCTGAAGACTGCTTTGCATTCTGAAAAGGATGCTATTTGTAGGAAAAGGGTATTTTTAGAAATATTAATATCTTGAGAGGACCAGGCTACTCTGCTGAGAAACTTCTACTTCTTCACTAAATTGTTAATTTGAGAATAGGAGTTGATTGGCTAAAAAAAAAAAAAGAAAAGAACCATAGACATGTCTTTGGGGTAGCCTGAAAGGCATGGAAGAGGGAATATCTTAGGTGTTCTATACACAGACCTGTGCATCTAGAGGCAAGATGAAGGACTTTGAGATCAATGAAGGAAAAAAAAAAATATGCTCTAGTAGAGCCCATGTCCCTCAAAATAGAATCCATTATCACCTAACTAGCAGAGTCCATGAAAGATGATACTTTAGCATTAGAAGGTGCTTTATGGAAATCTGAGAGAGGCACAGAAATGGGACAGGTCGAGCTTCCTCGGTCTGGTGTGGGAGGGCATTGATCACCGAATGTAGGGTTAAACTATTAAGTAGGTATCGTAAAGTCCTCAGGCAGAGAAAACATTTGGAAATTTATCAGTTGCTACAGTTACTCAAATGGATAACATTCTGCATCCTCCCCCATCCATAAACTGCGTTCCTGGGTAATGCTATGCCTTTGAGATAGTGTGGTAAAGAGTAAATAAAATATTGAATCTAAGATGTTTAGTAAAAAATTAGCAACAACAGACTGTGTGCATAGGACTTTGTATAGGAATCTTCAAAACTCAGTTCTTATTGAAAAAAGGTGAGAAAAGTTTTATATAAGCTAAAAAATAGCATTTACATACAATTTTTCATTTGAACAAAACACAATAATATACATATGATAAAAATATAGGAATATTAGCCAAAAAGAACCAAATCTCAGTTGACAATGATTGCCTTCTAGAGTGACACAAGTAGAACGTGAAGGGGATGAGGGAAGGAAATAAATAAATAATTAAAATAAAAGCGAGACCTTTCAAAACCAATGGTAATAATGAGCTATAAATTACAATAGTAGTGTAATCATCTCAAACCTTTGCACATGAATTTACAAGGCAAAAGAAGGAAAATTTAAATAAAGTTCTTACCACACTCTCTAACACATTGGTATGATTAGTTGTGTAATTTAAGAAGAAAGAACAGAAGCAGTCTAAGGGAAAAAATGTTGGAGAAATCAATTTCTTTCATTAAAAAAAAATATACTTCTCAGTCAGGAATTTGTAAAATCAATACTAACTACTTACTGTTATCTGCCTGTGGCTCCAGCAAAATATTATGTATTATTGGAGATGAAAAAGAAGTATTTGATAAATTCTCTTTGTGGAAGAAAACCAAGAAATATGAAATGTAATGAGTTATTTCTGAAATTCAATGGGAAACTGATAGAGTTTAAAATGTTTCAAAAATTAAAGTCTCATGTGGTATTTTAGATGATACATCACAAATAAGAGCTTGTAGTAATTCATTCTTTCATCTTTTCATGCAGCAAATATTATTGAAACCACCATACACCCATCTCCAGGAGGAGCATGATTTAGAGGGCCAGACAGTCAGGTTTAGAAGAAAGACTGGCTTCTAGAAGGGCAGCAGGTTAGCTGCAGGACAGGGCTGGTTGAAAAGTGGGCAGTTTCTGAAGGCTGAGCCTTAAAAGATTTTTTAAAAACTGTGTTGAGTATGAAGTAAAAGCTTAAAGATAAGTGTCTTAATTGTGCACATAATGATGTAAATAAGGTAGTCTTTATCTTCTCCAAAAATAGAACAAAAACATGTATTGAATTGCAGAAAAAATAAAATGTTTTTTCAATGTGGTTTATTTTTATATGCACTGATATAATAGCACATTATCTTTTATTTCAGATACACTGGCCGAGTACAACACTAAAAATAGAAGAATGTATAATGAAAGGAAAAGACACAGTAAGTTTTGTTCATGATAAATTAAATCTTGAATTATAGTGCTGGTCAATCACAATGGACTAAAATCCCTAACTTTTCATTTGTTCTTATAAAGTATATAACAGTTAATTTCAGGAAGAAAAGAAGTGTGTTCATATATATATATATATTATTGAAAATGTGTGTGTGTGTATATATATATACACACACACACATTTTCAATGTAGTGTTAAAGGGAGCTGAGGTGCTATGCAGATCTTGATTTTTATTTTGTTTTATTGTATCTTAACTCAGATTTCTAAATCCCTTGCAGTGATGCTTATGTTCTCGTATTTGGGAGAAAAATAATTACAAGTAATTTTTCCATTTGAGGAAAAGCTAAATACATTCTTTATGAGATTTCATTTTGCTTTGTTTAGTAAATGAGAGACAAATGAAGCAACAAAAGGAGGAAATCAAAAAATATGAAAGAAGGCAAGGACAATAAGCATTCTTTACCTATTCCATGATGTTTTCAGGATCTCTCCTATTTACAGAATCAACACACCAGTACTCCCTGCAGTGAGTGAGTGGGAAAGGTGGTGCAGCAGCACCTAATGTGCTAGCAGTAGCTGACCACTGACACATACATGTCCTGGGAGGAAGGCATGTATATTTCCTTTTGATATTTACCTTATTCTTTTTTTTTCTAGTAAGAAAAAAATCCCATGTAAAAGATTAACATACATTATGAACCAACTCCTGATTCTCAGTAGCAACTGGGTCACAGCCAAGGAATGAGTCAAGACATTCTTGCTGACTTATTCCACAGCATGATGCTGACTAATGAGCACACTTAGGCTGTGTCAATCTAAGCCCAACAGAGACAAAATATGGTCTAATTGACTCATTCAAAATGTGGCAGTGTTTCAAGAGATGAAATCTTAGAGAATAGGATATTTTTTCCATACCTGAATGATTAGCTTTTCCAATCACATGGGCTTGCCACGGAATAAAATGCTCCATGAATGAGAAACTGAGGAAATTTCATATATCTGTGTGCCCTGGGTAATCAGTTCAGTATTTCATTCCTCATTCTTACCAAGGGAATGCTATAATCTGAATCATTTAAAGGGAGATGGTTCTGCTGGCTTTTTGATCCTAATGCTGTCATATGAAGACTTTAAAAGTCACCATCTGTCCTTATAAAACATCACGTTTACTGATAATTGCACGGATTGTTATCAAAGTAATATTGAGCATTAAAGATTAATATTTCTCATGATTTTTATTAAATGAACTGGCAATACCTAATTTGCCAAGAAGGTGTTTGCTAAAATAATTTAGACAAATTGATTTGATGAAATTTTTAAACTTTTTTTAATTCAGCATACGATCAAACTCACCTAGTGATTAATGCATTAAAACTTTGTTAAACATGCAAATTATATTACGTACTTTGTTTGATTAACTGGAGAATACAAACATGCATAAAGACTGTCTCCAAAAGCTTTCAGTTGAATGCCAATATAGGCAAACTAGAGCTCCTAGGACAAAGGTGGCGTGCCAACTGTAGTGGCAGGATGGCACAGAGCAGGATCTCTATGATCCGGGTAGACTGGTAAAGGAGAGTCCTGGATCCCTTGGTGGCTTTTTCAGGCTTTTATTGAGCTTATACCAGGTACATGGCAGGGAGGGATGCCAGGGGCCAGGAGACTGGCAGGCCTCCCAGCCCCGGGTGAATCTTTACTCTTTCTGGGCTCTCTGGCCTTCTCTCCTGGGCTCTGCTTCTCTGCTTCTCTCTTCCTGCTCAGCTGGTTCTGCTCTCGTTCTCCTGTTCTGCTGGCGTCCCCACGACACCGCCCTTAGAAGCCCAGTCTCAGCCCAGATATGCCCACCTATGCATGCCCACACCCTAGTCCAGGTGCCTGCCATCAAGCATGCATGTAGGACCGCAAGGATCCATCATTAATGCTAATGGTGGGAGAGCGGAAAAGCCTGATGATTTTTCATTTACCTTACAACAACTTATTTTTGTGTCATAAAGTTTTACTGGAACACAGCCACACACATTCATTTTGCATTGTCTATGGCTGTTTCCATGTGAAAGCTGCAAAGGTAAGCAGTTGCAACAGAGCTCAGTTGGCATATCAACCTAAATACATTTGCTCTTTGGGTTTTTGTAGGAAAAGTTTGCTAATCTCTGGACTGTAATCTTACAATAATAGGTTTTAAATATGGTTTTTATTGGTATATTTCTATTTCAATAAGAGCTCTCTATGAAAATGCCTTATGTGAATCTGTGAATTTGAAAATATGACTTGCCTAGGCATCAAATATTTTCAATGCTTGAAAGTCTGCATGTGTAAATTCAACTTTCACTAATTACTAGTTTTCTGATATGCTGATTGTTTGTGTGCACTTATGCAGGGTAAGATAAAAAGCATCAGGCTTTTCTGCCCTCCCACCATTAGGATAGATGAGGGAATCCTGTGGTCCCGAATGCATGCCTGATGGCGGCACCTGGAATAGGGTGTGGGCATAGGTAGATGGGATTCACCTGGGCTAAGACTGGGTTTTTAAGGGCGGCATCACGGGGACGCCAGTAGAAGCTGGGAAAGAAGCTGAGAGAAGAAAAAGAGAAGCAGAGAAAACGCCAGAGAGCCCAGATAGAGTGAGGATTTGCTGGGGGCTGGGAGGCCTGCCAGCCTCCCGGCCCCCCAGCACCCCTACCTGCCATGTACCTGGTAAATCCCAATAAAAACCTGCAAAAGCCACTGAGGGCTCCAGGACTCTGACTCCTCCCTTACCCCATCTGCTGGATCAGAAAACCTGCACTCTGTCCATTCTGCCCCTACAACTTGAAAAACAGCAGTGTTGAGAATAACTTAATTACTTGGAAGAATATATTGCAATGCAAATTTTTATGCTTGAATAAGTTTCTGAAGATTTCTTTTTTAGTTCATTAATCCTATACTAGAACATATGAAAAAATGATCAACTCTTATGAAATATAATTCATATATCACTGTTAAATATAATGTAATGTAATATAATGCTAAATATAATGTAATATAATGCTAATCTCTTCTACTTATTGTTCCTTGTCCTCTTTTCATTTATCCCTTTAGTGAAGGGGACATTTAAACATGAAATTTCTAAGTTTTGGAAAAACAAAAAAGGGCTAAACATTTTTATTACACTGATCAATTTCTATTTTTTTTTTTTCTCCTTGCCTTAGAGTGAATGTGCAAATTATGTCCGGGTTTTGCATCACTATAACAGGACACACCTTCTGATCTGTGGGACTGGAGCTTTTGACCCACATTGTGCCTTCATCAGAGTTGGATACCATTTGGAGGTAAAACAATTTCATTCATCATGATCAAAAAGAGTAATGCTAAAAAGAACTATGTCTTAATAGAGGAGTTGTAGCATTTGCTCCAATCTACAGAAAGTTTGCTTGAGTCAGAGAAATGATCTCTATGGGTCTTTAAAACTTTTGTCTAGTACAGAATTATGAGCCAATTAATTTTTATCCATTTATTTACTGAACGCTTTCATTTATTTAAGTTGTCCACTTAAAAATATTTCTTAATATCAAACTGTATTTTCACATAAATTTTTATTATAACCACCAACCTAGAACATCTATATGAATACACAGACACACACACATGCATGTTTATATAAATAAAATTACAACATACATTATTTTAAAAGGGATATGCCAAGACTTGTTGATTCTGTAATTACTCTTTTTCTGAGCTGTGGGAGGAGGAGGAGAAGGTGGAATTGGTGGTAGGTGCCAATTGTAAACTGCTTTAAGTTAATATTAGTAGGTGAAAGCTATGCCTCTCTTCTCCCAAGGCACCATCACTAGGTGATAATGTATAATGAAAGCAAATCTCAACTGAATTCTGCCACATGATATTTACTAGCAAGCAGTCTTGAAAATCAGTTACGTGTATAACCTGTTTCAACAAGCTGGGTAAACTTCCAACTCTTATATTAGGCACATTTTCAAACACCTTACATCACAGTTTCACTCTGAAGCACATTAAACAATATTCTGATGTCAGGATCTGTTATTTTTTTGTTTCTTTTCATTTCATCAGCAGGCCAGTCCTACATTAAGATGATCACAGACAAAGCAAACTTCCAGATAATCTGCAGTTAATTAGCTAGATTCTCTTAATTTTTATTCCACCACTTATGAAAGGGCAGCAGTCACTATAAAATATTTTCAGCCAACACATACAAAAAGTAGCATTCACTTTGCTAGTGAAAAATTATTTCTCATATTTCTTGTACTAGTTAATACCCAGGTGCAAATATAATTAGCACTATTTAAAGTGCTTACTCTAGCTGCCTCTGGAGAATGCCCCTAATTGAAGTGCTTCAACTGTTAGGCATCCTTATACACAGGATTTTTGATTAGCATATTTCAAATGTTAACTAACCAGTTTAGTTGGAGATTCAAGTTCAGTTGCTTATACAAATACATCATGGTCTATTTACTGAATTATTTTAAATAAATTATGCAGGTGATAAATGGAAGAACTTTAGAGATAAAGAGGGTGAATTGGTTCAGAGCAAAGTCAGAATATTTACATATATACAAATATACAAAGTATTCCTATGTATATACATAGATGCAAAGTCAAAAGTATAAACATCTTGTGGTTCAGATCTATTTGGCAAGGCAGTCTCTCAGTTCTGATTTCTCTGAAAGTTTCATCCTTACCTTTGAAGGATATTTTCCATGGATATAGAATTCTGGGTTAACAGGTTTTTGTTGTTGTTTTCAGTTTTTTTCCAGCATCTCAAAATGCTTTATTCTAATCTCTTTCTGATGTAAATTCAGGTTTCATTCATAATGATGTTATTCTGTAATTATCGTTCAAGATTTTTTTTTTGAAAGATTTTCTCTAGTGTTTTCTGTATGTGTATGTTGTAGTGGTAGAGAGATTAGTATTTATATTTCTTGGAATGCTCAGATTCTTGATTATGGAAGTTTATGTTTTGTATCCAATTAGGCAAATTTTTGGCCATTCTTATCTCAATTATATTTCTGCTGTGTTCCCTTATTCCTCTCCATCAGGGATTGTGTGTGTGTGTGTGTGTGTGTGTGTGTGTTGTTGTTGTTAGACTTTTGGACAGTATCCCACAGTACAATGGTGTAGGGTAAGGAAAAATGTCAGGCTTTTCTGCCCTCCTGCCATCAGGATAGATGATGGATCCTTGAGGTCCTGAATGCATGCCTGATGGCGGGCACCTGGAATAGGGTGTGGGCATAGGTAGATGGGATTCACCTGGGCTAAGACTGTGCTTTTTTAAGGGCGGCGTCACGGGGACGCCAGCCGCAGCAGAAGCCGAGAGAGAAGCAGAGAAGAAGCAGAAGCAGAGAACGCCAGAGAGCCCAGATAGAGTGAGGATTTGCTGGGGGCTGGGAGGCCTGCCAGCCTCCCGGCCCCCCAGCACCCCTGCCTGACATATGCCTGGTGAACCCCAATAAAAGACCTGCAAAAAACCACTGAGGACTCTGACTGCTCCTTTACCCGGTCTGCATGGGATCAGAAAACCTGCACTGTGTCCTTTCCTGCCTTACAAATGGGGTTTTTTCTCTTTTTTTATTTCTGATTGGAAAAATTCTACTGGTTTACTTTTAATTTGTAAGTCTTTCTTCTGAAATCTTCAATATGTTATTATACACACCTCATTAGTGGTCCCTGTAGTTATTGTGCTTCTTAGTTTTAGAACTTTTTTGTATAATTTCCCTTTCTGTAATGAATAGTCCCATATATTTTTACTCGTTATGGTTATATTTTCTTTTTTAAGCCTTTGGACATACTTTTAACAGCAGATTTTAAAATCTCTGTGTGCTAGTTTTAGTATCAACTTAAGTTTGTGTTAACTACTTTTTCTCTTGACTGTGTACCACATTTTCTTGTTTCTTGGCATGTCTAGTAATTCTTATTGTATACCAGTCATTATAGATCATGTGTTTTCAAGATTCTGGATTCTAAGATCTTTTGAAGACAATTGGTTTTATTCTAAACACTTTAACTCAGAACTCTCTTGTGACAGGCAACATCCAAAAATCTGTTGAAATTTCCAGCCGTAGTTTTTTAGGGTCTGCTTGCACATGCAGTTAAGGTGTCAGCCATGGAGCATAAAGGAATATACACACAGCTGTCTCTCTCCCTCGCTGGATATGTCTTCTTTCTTGCTTTTTAGCTGATCTGGAACTTTAAATCTCTGTTCTCTGCTCAGCTAAGCTAGAAAGTCTCTAGTTTCCTGCTGGAGTTTTAGTCAGTCTTCACCACATAAATGAAGGAGTTTCCTCAATTAGAAATAATTTAGTCTTTGCTTAACTGATCTCTAGGTCCTTCAAATAATTGTTTTTTACACGTTTCATTTAGTTTACCATTTTCTGTGGAAAAGTTACTTCAATAAAAACTGCAACTATCAGTGGACAAAGTGGAGCTCCATGTAATTCACCTTCATATACATAATGAATGTCGAATATTTTTCTACCATAATTATCTAAATATCAACTACAATTTGAAACTTTTTTTGGGAAAAATACGTATAAATAAAATGAGAGGAACATATGGCCATATGATAATAAGAGAAGTAAGCAATTTAGTGAAAACTGTATTTGAAGAAGTGATAAAATTTTATCTGAGATATGCAAAATTATAAATTATAGGTAAGGAAAATACTTTGATTAAAAAGCTCAGAGGCATATGCGCACAGGATAATTTTGTTAACATTAGTCTGCTTGGCTGGGGGACAATAGGCGAGAACTCTGAGGAAAATGTATACAGAATTTTTTATGCTAGACATTCTCATTCTGTAGTTATTTCTAAAGACAACTTGGAGACCATGAAGGAGGCCATGAACAGTGTTTGATTGACATGAAATTAGTAATATTTTGGATTTATTCAAGCAGAGAGAGATGAAAGGCAGACAAATTAAAGGAGGCTATAACAAGAGTCTTTGTGAGAGATCATGAGGCTAGTTAACAGTGTTGTTACAATAGCAAGGAAAGGAAGAATAGAACTGATAGGAGAAGGAGCACAGCAGGAAAATTTGTGTAACTTGACATTTTATTGGAGGTTGCTCATGAAAAGGATTAAAAAACAATTCAAATTTTATTTCCTGATGATTGAGAAGGGAGAAAAGGGTTTTAAAAGCAAGAAGGAGCTAGGGAGGCACAGTAGATCTTTGTGAGAACAAAAACTGCTCACTGTTTCTCAGTTTCACTTTTTTAAAATTTCCGTTTACAATCATTTTAAAAAATAGATCTTGGAGTCAGGAGAGAATATTATCAGAGTAGATCAAGTTATTGAAAACTACGGTATTAATGGGTCATGAAGAAGTCTCAATTTCTCTCTCTCTCTCTGTCAATCTCTCTCATTTTTCTTCTCTCCATTACATGAAAATACTTGGAAAGTGCCATTATTTAAGTGACAGTAGAATGTCTGGGGAGTATCAGTGTAAACAGAAACTTAGCAGACAGACAAATACAGGACTAATCAGACTTGTGCAAATCCATAATCACACATATAAGGGGAAAAAAATTAAATGATAGACAACATCATCAATGTGACAGAGGGAGCACTTTTGGGAAAGGAATGAGAAATTAGAATGTAAGGGATTAAAAAATGACTGACTAGTGACAAAATAAAGGGAGTAATACAATCCTTTTCTATCCTGAGCTAAAATTGTTAAGGAAAAGAAGTAGGAGGATGGATAGAAGTTTCCTTTGCTATATGAAAGTAGATCATTCCGATTTGGTATGATAATTTTGGGGTCCGAGAATGCAAAAAAAAAAAAAAAAGGTCCATATAAAGGGTAGTAGCCTTCAGACCCAAAAATAACTTAGCAAATCATACAAAACAGGAACATTCTACTTTCAGATAATGGGAAAACATATACAAAAAGTGTAGGAGTTAGGAGTGTTGAAAGGAGGCTTGTTGTTTTATTTTGTTGAGGATAGTAGAGAAAAAGATAACAATTTATTGAGGATATGACTCCTTACCTTCTTACCTTCATAGAAATAGAGCTAGGTGGGGAATTACTTTGCCATGAGGGGGACTACAGAATATTTCAATGGTGAGTTCTCATTACCAGTTGGCTAGAATGGGTGGCTTTATATGAGAAAGGTTTGAGCTAGAAATATATATATTTTTTAAAGGTTTATTTTATTTATGCAAGAGCTGGGGTATAGGCCAGAGGCATGGGAGGGTGAGAGGATTCACCAGAGACAGAACAGGGAGTAGAACAGGCAGACAGGCCAAAAGCACTGCTGAGGGGAGCAGTGGGCAAGATAGGAGAGGTCTGCTGCACCAT